ACAACATCTGGAGAATGTTCACCGCTGACTGTGTTCCACAGAACCACACAAGCTACCCAAGGGATCATTGTGCTTGTATTTCTTGAATAGTAATTCCTTGCGCTGCATCATAAGCTGCTTTTGAAACTCACAAGGCTTTCAAAAGGAGTTTGTGAGAAAGCAAAGGTGAACTGATATTAAAGATGGGGAAAACACCACTGAGCGTAGTCGAGCTCTTAGTGCACCTAATGTCACAATTTGGATCCCAGCCAGGGCCGGCTCTACCATTAGGCAGAGTGAAGTGACTACATCAGGCAACAAATGCTGAGGGGCAGAGCTGTGAGTGGCGCATGACCTTCCTTGTACCTCCAAAGCTAATGTGCTGTCCTCAGGTGCAGTAAATAAAGTTGTCCTGTTGTCAGTCTTGAAGTAGGTTTCAGTTGCTGGTCTGGTCAGCTTTTGTACATGAGAAGGCACCACTTTCTTTTTTTTGCCTCAGGCAGCAAAATATATTGGGCTGGCTGTGATTCCACCCCTGTATTTACTACAACTACTACTATTACTACTGCTGCTATTATTATGATTTGAATTGATTAGTTGCTTTATCCTGCCAAGGGCCAGAACTTTTTTTTCCAGCTGGAAATCACTAGAGCTCAGTTCTGGCATCTCTCAGGTGGGTACCACTGCCATTCTAAGAGAAGTTCACGGTGAGCTCTGGTACCTCTTTTTCTAGAAAAATAGCACTGCCCTGGGCATTCCAAAGTGATTTACAATCAACCAAACCAACAGACACACACACAAGATACATTAAAACAAGTGGGAAAAGAATTTTATTATTATTTATTGAATTTATTCCAAAAGAATAGCATTTGCTTGTGTATCTGTGCAATATTTAAACATGTTTTATTGCTCCTTTTTCAGCAGCCAAGGAAGTCTCTGCTGCATCTTTCTCCGTAGACATTCTGGCCCTGTTTCAACTCCATCTAACCCTTTTCTGAGGTTTCTTAAGCAACATATTCTACAGTAAGTGAACAGAAGAAAATACATAGAGGGAAAGTTCCCCATCTCTTCCTCCCATCTGCAGTCACCTGTGCTCCCCGAAAAGCCTCTGCTTTAGGTCTCTGTTTAGAGATCCTTCTGAAGCATGTGAGATGAGAGCACAGAGGGCTGCAGAGACAGCTGACCGCCTGGCAATTTCCCTTCCCCCAACAGCCCATCTTACATTGCTCAGGAAGGGCTCCTGACCCTCCACACAAAAGCATTGACGGCGGGGGGCACAGATGGCTTCAGAGGGGAGAAGGGCTTGCTTCACTTATCTTCAGTTCCAAGCCATTAATATTGTTATACATGCCACCCTAGAGTCTGAGCGGTGCAAGATTCCAAGGTTCGTGTTTCCTTTGGAATGTGGCACAGTGGAGTCTGTGGTGTCTTTATGATATATGGTTTATTTACACATATATACAACCTGATGGAGGGGCTCACAGCCTTAACACTACCGTAGCCACTCTGACCTTTGTCTTTCTCACTACCAGTGAGTTGAGGGAGGGGTTTGCTGTGTGGCACAGATCCACTTCCTTTGTTTCCTTAATGGCCCATTACCCAGGCAATCACCTCAGCAGAGAAGCTAGGCCTTTTTAGCACAAGTAAATCTAATAATCATCCTCTGCCATAATGCCCAGGAAGGTATGAAAAACGGCAATGGCATGAGCAGAAAGAAGGATGTTTTGAACTGAATTTCATTCCACCCAAATCTGATCCTAATTGAATTATTAACCGTTCAAAGTTAAATATGACTTTGCTTGGAATGTAGTGTTTCTGGGCACTCTCCCTACTATGATTTTTTAGAGTTAGCTTCACCTCTAGCTCTGCACATAGCCAGTGCTCTAAACTTCTAATAAAATCATTAATAGTAAATATGAGGGGGGTGGGGGGAATCCTTTGCTGTGTTTTTCCTTTTGACCCTCCCTCTCCCACCTCAGTTTTGGTTTTATGCTTAGTCTGGAGGTTTTAAAAAACAAGTTGATTATGGGGGCACTAGATGCTCCTCTGTGCTGCACTTTGAAGCTTTTTGTATGGAGGCAAGAGACTTTGAGTCAAAAGCACTTCATCTCCTTTGATGTCTAATATGCCCCACCCTGGTTTTGCTTTATGTTTAGTTTGGAGGGTTTCTCCCTCTCTCCAAGCGGACTCTGCAGATTGCGCTTTGAAGCTTTGCAAATGAAAAGGGGGAAAGGCTAATCCAATCAACTAAACTGTAGGCTGGCTTGCAGTTGTATCTGCATGTCCCCATCATTATTTCTGTCCAGGGACCAGCACAAAAGCTGTGCGCAAATACACCTATATCTCGTTTCCTTTCCAAAGCAATTTTCAGGAGCATGGGCAGATCACCAAAACTGGTGATATTTTTAAGGGCACAAGAAGAGCTCTGCTGGATTTAGACCCAAGACTCAAGAAGTCCAACATCCTGTTCTCACAGTGATCAACCAGATGCCTATGGGAAGTCCTCAAGGATGGCCTGAATGTAACAACCACTTGTGATATGCAGTAACTGGGATTCACAGGCATCCTGCCTTGATAGCGGAAGTATGGCATATTCAAATTGGAGGCCACCACTACATCTAGCGGAGGCAAATTCCATAATTTAACTGTGTGCTATGAAAATACATGCTTCCTTTTGTCTGCCCTGAAACTTCCAACATTCAGCTTCATCAGATGAAGGCTCTTTTCCAGGAAAGCCATGTCTGTCACTCTCACCAGAATGTGCATGGCTGGAAAACAAAGCTTTGCTTTGATATCTTCCTGTACAGAATCAGACCATCTAGCTCAGTACTACAACACTTAACTTACTCTGTTCTCCACACCATATTTGTTTAGAGGGAGTACTTTGAAATCTAATGTTTAATCAATGTTTTCTTGCGGACATGCAGATGGAAAGTGTTTACTGGAGAGAACAAAAATTGGGTTTTTTATTATTATCATGCCAACTCATGTCACTTTTGTATGAGACTTGCGATCTTGCACGTGTATAAAGAGCTGCTGAATGGAAATGATTTTGTAGTTCAACATGATTCACATCATTCTGATTTGTTTCAAGGAACTGTTGCGAGACAATAAACCAGACAAAGGGTTTTAGAAGAAGAATGGTCTGTTTTGCAGCTTCCCGTGTCATTCTGTATGTGTATGCACTTTGTGCAATTTAGTTTTTAAAGCCTAGCAAAAATGCTTAGACATCCGTAACATAATCAAGAAAAACAGCAAGTTGATGGTGTGGGGAGTGGGGGGGGGGGCATCCTTTTAAACAGAAACATGGTGGTAGTAACATGTCATGGTTTAAAATGGTTGGAAATGTAATATGGTAGTTGCATAGACATGCTGAGAGGCTGCTGCTTTTTTTGTAGAAAGGATGGGGAACTTGAAGCTTCTGGATGCTCCTGGAGTCCAACTTCCACCAGTCCAGGTTGCCATGGCCAATGGCCAGGGATGATGGGAACTGTAGTCCAGAAACATCTAGAGGGCCACAGGTTCCCCATCCCTGAAGTACAGTATTAACTACTAACCATACAGCCAAGGGACACAGGTGGCGCTGTGGGTTAAACCACAGAGCCTAGGGCTTGCCAATCAGAAGGTCGGCGGTTCGAATCCCCGCGATGGGGTGAGCTCCCGTTGCTCGGTCTCTGCTCCTGCCAACCTAGCAGTTCGAAAGCATGTCAAAGTGCAAGTAGATAAATAGGTACCGCTCCGGCGGGAAGGTAAACGGCGTTTCTGTGCGCTGCTCTGGTTCGCCAGAAGCGGCTTAGTCATGCTGGCCACATGACCCGGCAGCTGTACGCCAGCTCCCTTGGCCAATAAAGCGAGATGAGCGCCGCAACCCCAGAGTCGGTCACGACTGGACCTAATGGTCAGGGGTCCCTTTACCTTTACCTATACAGCCATAGTGTAAACAAATGAAAGAACTGGAAGGTACTCTTCAGGAGGTATGCAGTTTGGGCCTATGAATGTTTACCTGGAAGTAATTGTCACTGAATTGGACTCATGGTGAAGTAAGTGTAATAGGATTGCAGCCTTAATAACCCTATTTAAATGGCAACAATCATAGGTAATATGCTACCCTGCACCTTGCTGAATAAGTGAAATATACACACCCTTGAACCAGCCCTAAGTGAAACAACCAGCAAATTTATATACATCTCCTGCCCGTTTTACTGTTAGTAAAGCTGGCTCCAGTGATATATAATGTGACAGTGCTAATGAGTTCTGACTCATGCTTTTATATACTGAGTGGTGCTGTTATGCTTTCAAGCCAGCACGGCTGGTTGCCAGACAGATCTCTTAATTTTCGTAGTACACTTTATAAACTCAAAGGAGCAGATCAATTACTGATGCCAGATACGGCACCTTGCTGGAGCAGGTATCTCGTGCGCTGATAAATCAAAATTTCCTATCTATGGATTTGTGTCATTTCACTTATATAAATGAAAATGAAATCAAACACAAGCACATTCATTCAAGGTATTAAATACCCATATCCTGGAAAGAGGCCACATTCTGGATTTCTAGCTTAACTGAGCAGTTCTAATTGGTGCCACTTACAAAATCTGATATACCCAAAAGCCTGGAATCACTTCCTAATAAACATTGGCCTGGCATGGGATTTGAAGCTGGAGCCAGATTGCAGGGCAGCATGGCTGCCACCATAGCCAGGGGAGGGACGCATTCCCCCTGGGGCCTTGTGGGTCTTCTTTCTCTAGCATAGCCTGGTGAGATCTCAGGAAGGGGTGGGATGGTAATTTCCCCAAATTGTACCCCTCAGAGAGCTATAATTCTCAGAACTCTTAACGAACTTTGGAGGGAAATTCTGTGCTTTAAATGTACAGTGTGGTTGTGACCCTAATACTTTGGCATGTGGTACTCAAATGTAGTCAATAAATAGCAAATTGAAGCCAATAGTTATGGAAATAGATGGAAAGTTTTAGTTTTATGGCGAATATTGATTAAATGTAGTCCTTAGATTTTGTTACTGTGTATTACCAGCTCAGTCGGTAGAGCACGGGACTCTTACTTGCAAGGTCATAGGTTTGAGCCTAGATGAACCAACTGTACAATTCTATGGTTCTATGATAAACAAAGTGGGGGAAAGCTTAGCGCCAGAGCTTATCAAGGACTTCAGTGATTAATGTTTTTGTGAGATCTTTGCTCCCATCTGCTGTTCTCTTGGAGAGCCTTGGCTGAAGGCTGCAACCAAGGCCAAAGCAAATGTACAAATTAAAGATGCTGCCAGTCTGCAGAAAGCCTTTGGCTAGTGTTACATTTTTTATGTGGGACTCAACGTAATGTGCTCTTGCTGTATCTTATTCCAAACATTACTTCAGCAGAACTTGTAATCATGCAGCAGAATCCTAGCGACAGGAAAACCTCGGGGGACAGAGTATTCCAATTTACGGAACACATTTAATATTTGAGAACATCAGGCTGAACTTTTTTTTGGTTTTGTTTAAGAGTTACCCTGAGGAATTTAGATATCACCTAGCCCTGGGAAAGTTTTGAATCGGGTCATAACCTTTTGCAGGCAGAACGAGACATGCTCCCCAGACAGTGTTTGCTGAGCATGTTGGGAAGGGGTGCTTAACCCTTCCTGTGCTTGCTGATTTTCTGCTTCAGATAATCCCTGGTTTGTCTTTCTTCTCAGCCCTCTTGCTTTTGGGGCTCAGCTGAGGGTGTGTGTGTGTGTGTTAAAAACAGCCTTCCTTCTTGTGCAATCAAGAATCAATATCTGGGGCTCATTAACCCTCCTTCCCTCCCTCTGATTCAATTCCTGAAAGTGTCCGCAAGCTCCCTATCAGCAACATGAGAGAAACATGGGGCTGGTGGTTTTAATCTGCTTTTGGTTTTATTGTATTGAAATGGCTTCACAGAGCTTTAATTATTTTTCCTTATAAGGTGCTTACGGGCCCTTTTTCAGGCTGAAAAGCGGTACATTGATGACAATATAACAATGAAGTAAAATAACGGTTCTGCCCATAGGAGATGAGTATAATGCAATAAAGCAAAGCATGAGCCTCAGCAACCCTGGAAGTTGTAAATCTTTGGCCAAATTCTGCCAAATTGGCCAAATTTCTTCAACTTAAAGTCACAAATCTGAAACCATGTATGGTTGTGTAAATGTTGCAGAATGAGCAAACAGCATATAATTAATTACAGGCATAGATAGACAAACACTGTGGGAGCAAGAATAAAAGGAGTTTTCTCTCTCTCCGTTTTGCTTTCTCGTTTTATATTAGGTTTTGCCACATTTCAAAAAGTGAAAATCTGACCTTTTTTTTTTTTTTTTTTTGCAAAGTTGTTGTGGTTGGGGTTGTTGTTATTTTTTTTGGGGGGGGGGGGCAAAATCTAAACAAGTTTTTGAGCTATGTTTAGGGAAATTTGCCAAAATCTAGACTTCTGACATGGGTTGCTATACGTACGGATTTTCCTGCACGTTTCAGCAATTTCTGCCCAGACACTGTTTCTGACAGCTGTATTCCGACTATGTCAGGGAAATTTGGGACATGCGACAGCCCTACTTTAGGTAAGCAGGGTAATACAGTGTCTGCTGGTGAGATTCCTGTGATCTACATCTACCGCACAGTCTTCCTATATCTGAGGAGTCTAGGACTGGGACATAAAAAAAGAGATTGAACCCTGAATGTGAGTGTGTGCTCTACCACTGAGCTATGGTCTCATTATTCAGGTAAAAATAATTTAGTTAGATATTTATTTCACAAACTAATTAGAATCTAGGTTCCATATAGGAATATTTCAGATAGTGGTCCCTAAAACAAACCAGAGTGTAACATTTACCTTCTAGTTTTCAGCCGCATTCTTGTTGCGGTAGATGAAAACGTGTTGCAGCGTAAATGTTGTATAAGGTCTGAAACCCAAGTAGGGTAAATGGTGGTGCATACATATTTCAATTAACAAAACAATGAGGCAGTGCTTTGTTCTTTAATTCATTTAGGTAGAAGGCTGTAATCTTTTTAGAAATCCATTTACCTTTTCTTTATAATGTAACGAAATATATCCTGTGCACCTGGCCAAATTCTTGAGGAAGCAGGTGTTCTGCATCATTACAGCATCTTCTGTGCCATGAGACAGAATGAAGGAAATTCAATTTGGTTGATTTTTTTTAAAAAAACTCCCCCGTATTATAAAAATTCAAGTAGCACTGCATTTGGATAATCCAAGCACAATAAATGACCGTACTATTTATTGCACCTCTATGAATCATGAAATGCTCTTTTTTACTGACTGTGGAACAATTTCAATTTCTGTTAAATATTTAAAAGGTCTACAACAGTTTGGACAAGCAATTTCACAGTTACACACTGGGTCTGATCAATGTGGCTCAAACTGCTTTGTTTTCATAGTATATGACTCGTCATTTAATCTATTTGATGTCACTCTGATTTCTTCATTCTTTTCAAAAACAAGTAAGCAATGAATTCCCCATCATTGCCAATCCATACACAATCATACACAACCATAAGTCCAGTCATTCTTTAAATATTCAGGTGAGGAAAAACCTATTCCTATTAAACATATTATCAAACCAAGCTTCACATTTGCAAAGTGTGGCTTCTCTGTTTAAACAGTCTTTTTTCAGGGTTCAGCACTTAATTGATTCTTAAATTCTTTTTACAATAAAAGGGGTCCTGCTACAAATTGTGAAGTAAAGTGAATGGTATGGAGTGGATTCAAGTGATGTGATTTCCTTCCCCACAGTTCCCCAGTTTCCTGTGATACTATGGCCTCAGTGAGCTCTCTCTCTCTCTCTCTCTCTCTCTCTCTCTCTCTCTCTCTCTGTGTGTGTGTGTGTGTAGGCTCCCTCCTCTTACTTTTTACTTTAAATATTTTCATACTTCTGCAAATCTGCTGACCCCCTCATTGACATAAGACATGCTGTTTTGCCTACTTAAGCAACTAGAATTAGTATGCATTGGCCTGGTTCACATGTCACGTTAAACCATAGTTTAAAACAAACTACGGCTTAATGGGAATGAGCAGCATGGCGTTCCTTCCACACTCCTGCAGCTGCACAGGTGAAGCAAGCCAGAATCTGGCTTGTTGTGTCATCCAAGCACAGGCTATGATTTGTTTCCACAGACCAAGAACAAACTTTGGAGAGAAACAAACCATGAGTCTGGGTTCAGATGACACAACGGGCCAGACTCTGGCTTGTTTTCCTTGTGGCACAGAAAGATCAGGGGAACAGTGCCATGGGAAATTTTGAGCAGCATGCACCAGCACACTGGTCATTCACATCAAACCATAGTTTGCCTCAACATTTGAGATAGTGCCTTTAATCTTTAAACAAGACATTCTTGTTATTAATCTTTAATTCGACTGCCAACATACATACATAAGAAGCGGCTTTATATCAAGTCAGATAAAATGTCCCTCTAACCCAGAGTTGCCCTACACAGACTGGGTGCAGCTTTCCAGTGTCTCAAGTGGTGGACTTTCACATCACCTGCTACTTAGAATCATAGAATTGTAGAGTTGGAACGGACCCCAAGGGCCATCTAGCCAACCACCTGCAATGCAGGAATCTCAGCTGAAGCGTCCATGACAGATGGCTATCCAACCTCTGCTTAAAACCCTCCAAGGAAGGAGAGTCTACAATCTCCCAAGGGAGACCATTCCACTGTTGTACAGCTCTTACTGTCAGAAAATATTTCCTGATGTTTAGTTGGAATCTCCTTTCTTGTAACTAGAATCCATTGGTTTGGGTCTTAGCCTCCAGAGCAGGAGAAAACAAGCTTGCTCCATCATCCATGTGATGGCCCTTTAGATATTTGGATATCCCTTTTAAACTGGATTGACCCTGGAACCACTTGCATCCAAAAAGTTATGGACACTCCCTTAACATGAGAAGGCAGTTGGAACCAGGTGCTACTTTACCAGTGAGAAAATATTTCTGTGGGCTATACATTTAAATAGCACTTTGAAACTTGTTCTAAATCAATCTTTCCTACCTCCATTATGAAACTGAAATGCTAAAAGTAATAGTAAACGCCATTGTATTATGTTTTATCTCCACCTGGTGATCAGAATACCAAAATAGGGATAGCCTGGTATTACTACTGAATTAAATAAGAACTTTAATGACATATAGGAGCCTGATTCTATTAGCTGTTGTGCTGGAGCAACAATGGCTGTGCCAGTAAACTATTATCTCTGATGGCACTTTGCTGGCATTGCAATTTAGGATATCAATAATGTGCCTAAATCAGCAGTAGCCTCTGTCCCCAGATGCAGCACAGTGCAAATGTGTGGTATGGCTCAAATGTGGTGGGACCATGCCTGGCATCAAGGTTAACCTATGTGCCATCCTGTTTTAGCCACGACTGTGTCAGATGTATCCACACAATTACATGTGGCTCATATTTAAGAGCAGGTTTTTCATCAACTTGCTGAAAGATACACTATCTTACCCAAGGTGACTAACCATTCCTATTGTGACCTAACTTTGCAATGTGCCTGAGAATAAATTGTTGATTATCCTCAGCATATTCTATACTTGTGGGCACATTAATGGATTCTACATAATCTATGGTGCATTTCACATTTCTGGTCCCTCCTTGGCTTATGTCTTTACTTACCTGTTCGATTTTGGCTTAGGGAGACACTACCAGCTAAACTACCTTATATATGATTTACTTCGCAGGAAAGTTCAGTTCCCTCCATTATTTAATAAGGGAGGCTATAAAAGAAAGCATTAGCCTTTGTGGCCCAGTTTGATGTGTTCTTGTGGAAGGACGGTCCATTGTTTATCTAGGCTAAGCAATAGAAAAGTAAAGAAAATAATTATCTCCAGATGGTACTTTGAGGAAGATGTAGCTGATTGAGGTAGAAAACCACACTCTGGAGAGAAATAATGATGGGTTCTGGAATCTCTTGAAACCTGAAGAACAATCCAAGCATTCCCCAGAGACTGAACAGTAACTGGGATTGCTACAAGCAACAGTGAAGCCCAGCCAACAACAGCGAGTTGGCTATAAAGAGATGCACAATCCCAGAGATGTATCATCTTGAGACACATACTGCTGGATAATAT